CAGATTGGAGTGTTCAAGAAATGTGGTTTGCTAAAGTTTGCTTGATTGATCGATTGATCAATCAATGAATCAATTTATCTACTTCCCTATCTAATATTTATTTATTYACTTTTAAGTTGTGGTAAAATATAGAAAACATATAATGTACCATCTTAGCTATTTTAAGTGTACAGTTCAGTGGCATTAAGCACATTCACATTATTCTGCAACCATCACCAGAACTCTTTTTATCCAGCAAAAGTAAAACTCTATACTCATTGAACACTAACTTCCTATCCCCGCTCCCCCATTTTCTGGCAATCACCTGTCTCTATGAATTTGTCTACTCTAGGTCAAACTTCACTACTCATATATGTGGAACCACAAGGGATCTGTGGTATTGTAACTCACTTAATTCACTTAGCAAAATGTCTTCCAGGTTCATCCAGATGTAGCATGGGTCAGGATTTTCTTTCTTTTTATGGTTGCAGGGTTCCATGTTGTCTACATGCCCTGCTTTATTTACCCATTCGTCTACAGTGGACACTTGGGTTGTTTCCACTTTTGGTGCTTGTGAATAATGCTGCCATAAAAACAAATGCACAAATAYTTCTTTTAGACTCTGATTTTAATTATTTTGGTTATATACTCAGAAGTCAAGCTGGTAATATGGTAATTCTATTTTCAAGTTTTTGAGGAATCRCCAYACTGTTTTCCACAGTGGCTGTGCAGTTTCACATTCCCGCCAATAGCTCTCTGGAATTCCAGTGTCTCCACATTCTCACCAACACTTGTTGTTATTACTTTTGGATAATAGTAATCCTAATGGATGTGAGTTGCTCTCTCACTGTGGTTTTGATTTGCATTTCCCTAATGACTAGTGATTTTGAATCTTTTCATGTGTTTATTGACCATCTTCTTTGGAGAAATGTCTGTTCAAGTTCTTTGACATTTTTACTCAGGCTGTTTGTTCCTGTGCTTTTCACTTTCTTCCTAGGTTTAAAAACCTTAAGTCAACTGCTTGGATGTGGCTCTTATGATCCTGTTTCCCAAAGGGATGTTAAGTTTTACAGAAAGGAGATGAGAAGGACTGAACACATATGTAAATGTTTTTCCCTCTCAATAATGAATAAATCCTGATCTGTAGATGTTTTCACCCTGCTGAGTGTTTCTACTTATTCTTAAGTTGCTGAGCAAAAGGTTTGCCTGGATTTTGTCCCAAGGGTTGGAAAGACAAGTTTGCCCAGGTGAAGGTCTCAAGWCTAACTTGGGTTTTCAGGATGAATTGCTTTTTTTTTTTTAATTATTATTCAAAATCTCAAGGCCATTTTTTCTCAGGGTATTGGGCAAGAGCAACAATCYTATCACAAAGGAAAATGGCTAGCTGTGCAGATCAGGGAATGCTTTTAATAGCTGCTTCTCTGCATCCTGGTTTCTGGTTTTCCCACTGTGCTGGGGTCAATGCCCAGCTCAGGCCCCTATAGTTTGACAAATGCCCGTGTTAGTGGGCCTCGTGTGGCTTAGTCAATGATACTGTTCTCTGARGTGTCCATTTTGGGGCAATTAAGCAATTTATTGATCTTAAGAAGAAATACAGAGAGAGAGGAGTGAGACCACATCAGTTGCATAATAAGGACTCAAGAGACAAAAGGAGGAGTTGAATTGTGGGGAGGTTAGAATAAGAATGAGCAGRAGAGGCCTCCGTTTTGAACTTCCATTCTTTCTTTAGCTGCCCCCCCCTTGGGTTAGTGAACCTGGGGTTTCTAATTCAGCCATGATTTATTGCATGCTGTTATATGCAGGGATTAGGGCTGAGAGAGACCTTGTGGAGCTGCAGAGAGAGACCCATGGACAAGCAGRTGACTGTTAGGCAGCAGAGTGGTGAAGAAATGGGCTTGGGTGTCAGATGGATCAAGGTTCTGGTCCCTTATCTGCTACTTACTAAATGAGTGACTGTGGATAAGTTATTAAGCTCCCTAAGACTCAGTTTCCTTATTCATGAGATGGGAACCATAATACTACCTACCTTCTTAGATTATTGAGAAACTTGACTGAATGCTTAATTTTAGCAGAGCTTAGGAGATCTATTAAATATTCATATAATGTGCCAATGTCACATGAGTAGTGTGAGGGGTACTGAATATACAGCTCAGGGAGTTATTTTGGAAGCGTCATCATAGTCGGTAGCTGAAGGCATGGGTTTGAATGATTTCACAAAGAGAGAATGCTTAGGGGCATGTGATTGATGTATCAAATGGGACCATTGCAAGCAGGTCGAGGAGGGGGCTCAGGGGTTCCCAGATTATGAGGAGAGTAGAGCAGAGTTGAGCAAAGGAACCCATCAAGGAAACKAGAAAGAAAGATTTAGAGAGGTGAGGAGAAAAGCTAGCAAGGATATGGAAATCAAGGAAACAGAGTTTTCTGAGGGAGAGAAAGACAAGAGTATCACATGTTAAGAAGCAGTCAGTAGCACGGGAATAGAAAATGTTCATTCTGTGATTACTGGTGACTTTGGTGAGATTAATTTCCTGGAGGTGTGGAGGAAAAAGGCAGATTTCTGGGAAGTGATGGGTGAAYGGGTGATGGGGAATGGGAGACTACTTTGAGAGAATGTTTAAGGGAAGAGATTCTTGAGAACCCCTCTTGAGAGCTCTCCTCCCTTCTTTCTTGATCAAGTGATCTCTTTTCTTTTGAAAAACAAAATTTGAATTACTTTTTTTGTCCATTTCTTTTTATTTATTAGTTTTTCCACATCTTTTCATTTTTTGTTCACCAAGAAATGGCCACCCCAGGACTGGGAGCTCTTGAGTACCTAGGAACAAGGTGGGAGCTGCCCACTTTTAGAACACTGAGATTGGCTGGTGCCTTTACGCTCTTTTAATTACCATCAGAGACTGCAAAAGATTGAAAAAAAAAAAAAACCCAAACTAAAACAAAAACTAAAATTCTCTCACTAGAGGACTGGCTACATAATTTGTGAGATTTTAATGAATTTGCAAACCTCTCTATGTCCTAAGAAAAAATATAAAAGGTATATGTGACAGTACACCTATGCCCACCTATACGACACTGCTATCGTTTGTGTCTGGAATGTCCTCCAAAGACCTATCTGGTAAAGACTTGGTCCCCAGGGTGGTGTTATTAGGAGGTGATGACACATTTAGGATGTGAGGCCTAGTGGAAGGAAGTTAAGTCACGGGGGTGGGGGGGTTGGGGGGGTGGAGGGCATGCCTTTGAAGGAGACTATGGTACCCTGGCTACTCCTCTTCCTTCCCTTTTCTTCCTGGCTACCATGAGGTGAATGGGCTTCTTCAACCACATGCTCCCACTATGATGTGCTGCCTCACCACAGGCCCAAAAGCAATGGGCCAACAGACCATGGACTGAAACTTTTCCTCTTTTTTTTACTTGATTATCCCAAGTATTTTTTTACAGCAATAGAAAGCTGACACACACACACACACACACACACACACACACACACACATACATGAAAATGTGCCTTTATACTGGAAAACAGTTTTCTGGAAGGATATATAAGAATTGTTGACAGTGGGAAAAAAATTGTTGATAGTGAAGAACTGAAGTGGAAGGAATTTTTTTTTTTTTTTGTCTCATGCCATTTTTTCCTGATGGATTTTTTTTCCTGTAGGCATATTACTTTCTCAATAAAAAACAAGTTGATAAGTTTTTTTTTAAATTTAAATTCTTGGAGAAATAAAGCTGTTTCTGGTCACGTAGGCAGGAGCTGACAGCCTTATAAAGGATTGTAGGACTGTTATTCAGAAGCTTCCATCTCACAGAGTAAAATCTCAGAATCCCCATTCATGCGCCTTCCCTTAGCCCATCCTCCTCCTTTTTGACCTATCATTTATTCATGTCTGTGGAGTAAGGGAAATGATTCTCACACTTCCACAGCCAGAGAGTTCTTGATGTAGCCCAACCCATTGATTTAATTGCCTCTGATTAAATGTAGTGCTAGTTCTTTCTTGTATTTTGAGTCCCACCCTTGCCCCCCAGTGATCTGCCCTCCAGGTGGACAAGCAGATCCAGCTCTTCTTTGGGGGCCTCCTTGTAGACTGCTCCTAAAGCCTGCCTTCCTGACAACATGCATATGGTCTCCCACGGGTCATCTTCAGCCGTCATCCCTACTGGGCATTTCTCATTTTATGCACTAGTCTTTTTCTCTGCCTTTTTTTTTTTCCTTCTAAATAATGTTAGGTTGTCGTTCCCATGTAGATGGAAAACACTTTGGGTCCAGGTGTTTTATTTCTTTTCTTTTTTCATTTCACCATGCTCCCCCCTCCCCCTCCCTGCCTGCTATTGTGCAAGTAGTACAGGGTATAGRATGGGGACTCAATAAATCCTTGCTGGATAAGCAAATAGAGAGGAAGGGGGTGGGGAGGCCTGAAGGGAGCTCAGGGCTGGGACATTGCCTGGGGGCAGATGCTAGTTGGAGATGGAAGAGTGGAGGCTTGGCAGGTCCGACACCTTTGACTGCATCTGAATTAAGTTTTGCTCTCTAGAAATAGTACCCGCCTACCTCWGTGTTCCCATCAGTGCCTGGGGTCATTATCACTTTGTCAAGGTCAAGTATTTAAGGAGTGTCCACAGGGTGCCTGGCATTTTGCCCAACATTACTTCAATCCTCTCTTTATGTAAATAGGGGTGTTGTCTGAATGGGTGGGATCACATTTCATCACATTATTATATCTCAGCCTGTGCCTTTCTCCTACCTCCATATGCCTCAGTACCTTTTCACACCCACACAATATGCATAGTGATAAAAATACTGGTCACAACTGGGACTTTGGGCTCCAGATCCTACTCTGTGTGATTTTGGGTAGGTGTCTTCCCTTATCTGGCCTCCAGGGTCCCTAACAACAAAATATATGTGTAYTAGACAATCTCCTAGGTCTCTTCCAGAACTGAATTCTGTGCCTCTAATGTTCCTTTACTCGAGCTCCCACCACCATGACTGGGCATCTTGTGACTTGTGTTTTGTTCCAAATTACTTTCAGGAATTATGTCCCAACCCTCAGTTTATCGTGGGTGGAGCCACACGAACAGACGTTYGTCAGGGTGGTCTAGGTGAGTAACTGGGGAGAGTCCTGTTTGTTTTGGGAGCGGGCAGGTGAGTGTGTGTAATGAGCAACGCCCGATTACACTGTTAGTCTTGACCAGCTAAATTATGTACACGGTTTGCCCACATGGGTTTGTGCTTTAGAGATTGTCTTCTTGACTATGGATCTGAATGCTGCAACCCGTTTTTGGCTTCCCTTAACAAGAGATTTTCTGCCAACTCGTTCCAACCCCTTTCATGCTGGAGTAGCAAGCCAGGAATCTATATATGGAGTAGATAGCCATGCTGTACCATTTTTTATAATATTTGCTTTTAAGCAGTCATAGTTATCTATGGAATGGCCCTGTCCATGTAATTAYGGACTGCCAGAATAGATGCTTTTACAATTGGTATTGCATCTTTCTAGCCAGACATTCTTTCATAGGTCAGGGATTTGTAAATCAAGAAACTTCATTTAGGGGGTGGGGATGGAGTTCAGTGGTGGAGCACATGTGTCACACACATGAGGCCCTGGATTCCATCCCCAGCACCAAAATGTCCAAACAAGCAAAACTCCCCTTTATTGCTTAACTTATTATGTTCTTTTCAAGTCAGGTGCCGTTGAGCTTAGGATGTACTTTCATTTTTTGTTTTGTTAARTTCTAGCCTCAGTTGTCAGAAAAGCAGGCTCTTCTTGATGGCAGATTAGCTTTGTTGATCTCATAAACCYTCAGAATCTCCAGGCCTCACAGACGGGAATTTCTGCATTGAGTAGACCACACTTAACATTTTATGGGACAACACGGCCTGARTCGAATTTGTTGGCCTTCCAAACCACTGTCCAGTGACAACTGCAAAATATAGACTTGGACACAAAGGCAGAGAAGAAATAGACTCTACTTGATGAAAAGCAGCCAGATAAACAAAAAAACCCTCAGTCTCCATACCGACTCCATAACCTTTTATATTTTAGGAAGTTTCCTCTCTTTTTCTTCCTTCYTTTTTCCAGCCAGGAAAACCTTTTCTCTTCAGCCTGCTGGAAACCATCATGATTTTGAAAATTGCAGGGCATTTTATTTTAAATGCCTCTAATGTTCTCTCCTTTAATAAGTATAGCAAATCTGCCTCAGCCTGAGCTCATGGTGCGTGACTATAAAGCATGGAGAACAATTCGGGGTGCTGCACACAAGTGCGTGCCCTGTTGCCTGAAAACACAGCCCGTATCTCCCAGGCTCTTGTGTGTGGCTCGCTGAGGGGTGGCTTGCTGACCTTTTCCTGCTCTTGGTTAAGTGTTCCGTACCTTTTAACTTGGAGCTGCATGTTTAACCTAATTTAGCAAGCATCTCAGGGAAGCAACCTCGAATGTGCACCTTTACTGCTCCTTGTTAAAAATGTTTTAACCTTGGGAAAAGCATTTAATTAGTGTCTTTTCATTGATTGTCGTGGGGGGGGATTGTCCTTTGAATACTTTAAAGCAAAGACGTTTGAGGGTTTCCTAAAAGGGGCTGGAGCGTTACCATGGCGGCTGATGGAGACCAAGGCGTTGGAAGGGCAGGAAATGAACCCAACTGGATCTCAGAATCAGGCTCACATCAAAACAAATGGGACAGCTGTAGTGGTGGGGGATTTTAAATGAACAGAACAGGAAATGGCTGTTGAGTTCAGCCTCCTGAAARGGGCCTGTTGCTTGGGAAAGGGTTTGAGGCTTGGTTTAGTAGATGGAGCCTCAGCAAGTAGAACAGTAGGTGCCTCACAGGTCTGAGGCTGTGGCTGGTACAGCAATCTGCGGTGACCTGTGGAATTTGAGGCAGGGCTGCCCTCTCTAATGGGTGAGTTGTGRTGAGATTAAGACTTGATAAAGAGCGGCAAGATAAACAAACAAACAAAAAAAACCCCAGAGATCCTAGCTGGGCACAGTGGTAGAAGTCTGTAATACCAGTGGCTGTGGAGGCTGAGACAGGAGGATCKTGAGTTCAAAGCCAGTCTCGGCAATGGCAAGGCACTAAGCAGTGAGACCCTGTCTCTAAAATAAAATACAAAATAGGACTGAGGATGTGGCTCAGTGACCGAGTGCCCCTGAGTTCAATCCCTGGTACAAAAAAAAAAAAAAAAAGATTATAGAGATCCCACCCAGGATACAGAGCATGTTCCCAAAGAGCCAGGGAAGGTGTCACACAGTCAGCACCTGTTGAACCAGGGTGGGATGTGGATTAATGTTTGTTTAATGCTTTGCTGGCTTTTCGGAGTCCAATACAGGACAGCAGTGTCTGCTCTAGGGATTAAAAAAATTTATTTTTATAACAGTTCATCTATGTAACAAAAAATGTCTTTTCCCTAGAATTGTGTTATTATTTCATTATTTTGAATACACATGGTTCAAAAATTAAAACAACTGAAAGCTTTGCTSTGAGAAATGTGCTTCTCACCTGTCTTCTACCTGTCTCCATCTACTCCATCACTCACTGTCTTGTAAAAACCATCCTTTCTGGCTGGGGGTCGCAGCACATGCCTGTAATCCCAGTGGCTCAGGAAGGAGGATTGTGAGTTCAAAGCCAGCCTCCGCAGCAAGCCCATAARCAACTCATCAAGATCCTATATCTAAATAAAATATAAAAAATGATGGGGGATGTRGCTTGGTGGTGAAGAGCCCCTGGGTTCAATCTCCAGTACAACAAAAAAACAAAAACAAAAACAAAAGAACAAAACAAATACTTTTCTATTTTTTTATGCAAATTCTAACAAATCTATATATGTATTCTTATTTTTAACCCTTTCTTGAGCTGAAGGTGACATACCATCAACACTGTTTGACACTGTGACATTATTTCATTGAATAAAACATCTTGGAGATCACTCCATATCATTCTGTAAAGRACTTCATTCATCTTTTAACCGTTGAGTATACTGCATTGTATGGATGTACCACAGTGGGTTTATCCTGTYTCCTGTTGACAGATGCTTGTTATTTTCTCTGTCTTGCTATCATAGAGTATTGCAGCGACTCTCCTTGTTCACACATTGTCTTGTCTGTCTGAAGCTAGTTGGCCGCTGTCACGATGTGGCATCCAAAGAACCTTCCTCCTGACCGACCTAAGTGTGTGAGTCTCTTGGTTCTCATCCAAGTTTATGTTCACTAGAGCCCAGGACCTGGCTTTCTTTGGAGACATTGGAAAGAAAATTGGGAGTTCATAACCCACTTGAATCAAATGTATGAAATATGATATGTCTAGAACTTTGTAATGTTTTGAACAACCAATAAAAAAATTCTCTCTCAAAAAAAAAAAAAAAGAAAAAGAAAATAAAGATTGTAGAAACTGAAAGCTAAGGATCCAATTGCCCCAAACAATTCTTACTGTAGCAGGTGACTTTTCTTTGKATAGCTCAGTCCTTGCAGGAAGATRGTGTGGTTCTGCATCCACMTAAGTCATTAAATGAGTGTCCTTTGATGGCACAGCCCCCCAACAAAACACCTTTCTGAACCCCCATGCTTCCTAGTACACTGAGGTAGAGAGTTCTTCTCCAAAGATGCTATCCTCTGCAATCCTTGTCTTGCTTCATCTTTTCAGTGGGAGCCATACTCATCAGGTCTAGCAAAGGCCACCCACACATAGTGTCCACTAGAGTAAGAGGRTATCTCAGGGCCACCCCACGTTGGGATGGAGTGAGCTGTAGGTGTGCAKTTTCAACATCTGCAGGTGTCCATTTTCAGTGGATGCTCATGGTTATAGATCATTCAGGGAGCTTCAGGGACCTAGTGGGTCCCTCTGCTGCTCATAATAGTACAGTTTGTCTCTCTGTTGCATTTTGGCYCAGGCATGTACCAAAGCATATTGTGGCCTTTGGGGCTGTTCAACTAGACCCTGTCCTATGTGTGAAGTACACATTCTGGCTTTGTKCACCTCACACAACAAGTTATACCTATGTATCAACCAGAACTTCTTTGGTCACTAGCTTTAAAAGTCCAACCCAACTRGCTTAAGGAAAAAGAGGGGTGGATCTTTTGGTTCACCTAAGTAGACCATGGAAAGGGACGGTAGTGTTAGCCTTGGGGATACCTGGACTCAGGGATACTAATGTTCCTGGAATACTCTCTGCCTATCTCTTGACTCTATGGGTTGGCCTCATTCTCCTCCATGTCAGACAGGATCAATGTGGCAGGAATCACAACTCCTAGYGGTTCCAAGCTTCATCCTAGCAACACCATACACCAGATTTGATTTTATGTATTTAGGAAAGGCCTCTGATGGGATGATCTGGGTCTTCATCCACTTCCTAAGCCAGTTACTACAGATAAAGAGGCAAGGGTCCATATGATTGATTCAACCCGGGTCATGGGCTCACTCTTGTGGTTGGGAGCCTTAGTGACTGGAGCCTCCCTTCCAACCACAGGGAGAATCCTCCAAAAGGGAAAGACAATGGTGCTGGGAAGATAGAATAAAAAAAGTACATCTCACCATTAAACAGGACTGACCTGGCTTAGGCTTTCCCTATTCCTGGTCATCTTTGCCCTCTGTGCCCAGTGGCCTTGATATGCRCCCCCTCCCCCAATCCATTACTTTGCAATACTCCCTGAAATGCCTTTCCTGAGGGCCCCTCCTCTGTTATTGGATCTGTCCTTAGCCATGCCTAATTCAGCAAACCCAAGCAGACCAGAGTCTTCATGCTTTGCCTATAGCCTCACCCACTCAGTTTTCTCAACTATGAAGTGGGGATATAATCAAAACCAACTTGCCAGAGGGTTGTAATAAGCAGAGAATCAACACTTGGTTCCTTAAGCTCTAAGAAGTAGGCATGACCATGGGTGSAGTGGATGTGAGTAACCCTGGGAGTCCTGCCTGTGCTGCATGCACCGTATTACTCATCTCTGGGTTCACCGTCCCCTGTGCATACCAGAGCTCAGAGAAGGTTTGTTGCACTTTTGATCGGTTGATCTGAACATTCCTTCTTATGTTATTACTAGAACACTTTAAAATAGCCTAAATCTGAGGCTACTTGTGTTTTCCTCTCTCCCTTGCCAGTACCTCTTGAC